TAAACATCCATAAAACTCAAAGCTATTGATAAATATATGTGAGTTATGGCATAAACTCAACTATCAGATTTAATCCTAAGTAGTTCTCAATGTATCCAGATCATTCATTTGGCCACATAAAGAACTGGAAAAGAACCCTCAAACAATCTTAGTAGTAAAAATGGCATCAGCACCCTTTAAAAGGGGTTCATGAGATCCAAATTTAATGTACTTATTCTTTCACCATTTATCAAATGGCCCAAAATACATTGCAGGAATTGTTCAGATGAAATAAAATAAATGCCTCAGAAAACCAAGACCCAGCTCCTGGCCCCAAGGAGCAAACAAGCCTAGTTGGAGTGTGGCAGACAAAATAAGTAAAAGTAACCAAAACCCCCTCCAGTGACTCTCCACTCACAGGGCTGACTTTTGTTCTCAGAAGCTCACAGGAAATGACAGATAAAGGGACTAAAACTTAAATACTTGCTCATCACTGACCCCAACTTTCTCATCTCAGCCCCTCTCCCTCCCACCTAAACTTTCTTCTCTGTTTCCCTCCACCCTAGTCCTCCCCATTCCTCTGCCCCTAGAGCTCTGCTCTAGAATTTCCTGACAGGTGTATCTATCACATATTACCCCTGTCCTTACCTCCCTAAGGGATGGAATTTAATGTTTGTACCTTAAACTTATTATGAGAGTCGCCATCAATTTTAAGGAACATTTCTTTTAACTTACAAGGTCAGCATCTGGATCATGATATATATATGAGTTATTTCTTCTTGCTGGGATATGTGTTGATGTCTATGATGAAAATTGCCCCTTTGTCTAAATTGCTAACTTAGGCCAGGCAAGGTGGTACACAGCAGTAATCTCAGATACTCAGGAGGCTGAGTCAGAAGGGTGTCAAGTTTGAGTCCAACCTGGACAACTTAATAAGAACTTACTTCTTTCACAATAAAAAAATAAGAAGGGCTGGTGTTTAGGTTAGTGCTCCAGTACCTCTGGGTTCCATTTCCAGTACTACAGAAAACAAAACCAAAAAACTTAGTGTCATTTGAAACTGGAATGAGAAATGTCTGGAAGGGATGTAGAGGTCAAGAGCCTGGGTTCCCACCCTCCTATCACCAGTATAACACAGCTAAGTAGCCTATAGTCCCCTCTATTCAATCTTTGAAATCACTTACTAAGGCACATTCAATTTTTGTCCATAAAATGTGAGACAATAGGTGGGGCTTTTATTACTTTATCATTAAGGAAATCATGACCCAAAGAGGATCCCCGAATTTGTGGCCCATTTTCAGTGGATGGTCAGTGGAGAACTGGACATGCTTGGATGACTCAGGGGGTCTTCCATCCCTGTTTTCCTTTCCCATTAAATTTGGGACATAAAGGAAGGAAATATTCTGCTTTCATTAAAAAATGGCCTGTGCTTTCTGCTTATGGGCAAAATAAATCCTTTCCAAAACAATAGATGCAATCCTCATTTATAGTTGCCACTGGGAAAGGTTTCCAGGCTGGGAAAATTTTTTGAGACTTTAAAATCATATCCAATAATTTTAAAAAGGTGATTTTTTTCAGGATGGAAGATTTCATCGTACCTGACGATGGATATGTTTTTAATTAAAACGAGCACAAAATTGAATTTCCCATGAATCATTGAGATACCCAGTCCCTCTCTTGAGACAATGCCAGTGCTGGTAGTGATAGCCACCTCTTGACACCCCGAGGCCACTTTGTGTGTTTAGCAGTTAGAAAGGTGATTTCTGAGGCCTAGCAGCTGTTAGTGTTAAAGCTATTGTGTGGGAAACAAAAGCCATTCTGTTTGGTCCCCGGCTGCCTTTGTGTCCTTGACACTGGAGCTGTTTCATAAATGCGGTATAATTCTTTATCAGGGAATTTCATTACTGTCCATGTTTCAATGTCAGCTTCCACTTCTGGCAGCAGAGGGGACGTCTGAGCTACCTGGTGTAGCAGGAAGCTGGGTTTCTGACCCCTGTCAAGATGCTTGGATATAAGATCTGTTCATTAGACCTGTGATCAGATGACACCATAAGCACATATGTGCTTCCTTCCTTCCTTACCCTACACACTACACTTGAGGCTGGCTAGAGTGAGTGTCCTGTAACTGCTGGTCTTGGGAACTAATCAGAGCACAGTGCACTGAGATGCCCACATGGACTAGTATGAAGTAGATTTCTTATACAATTCTTCATTGACCTGACCTGGGAAGTTCTCGTAAAGCAAATCAGAACTGACATTTATTTAAAGAATGTGTACTTTTTCACTTATCCATTATTTTAACTTAGAAAGTATATTACTATAGGTAGTTTTCAGTTGCATACGGTCTTAGTTACGCTAGTCTCATTACTGAAACAAAATACCCAACACCCAAAGTTAAAGGGGGAAAGGTTTATTTAGCTTACAGTTTGTAGAGATTTCAGTCCATAATTGGCTGACTCCAAGGCAGGGTGGTACATGGCAGAGGGGCAACAATTCATGGCAAGTGAAAGTTAGCAAAAGCAACAAGAAACCTTAACAGCATCTTTCTGCCCCTTTTATCTTATCCAGACCACAGGGATTAGGGCAGTGCCAAAATAATTAGTGGACTGATTTAGTAATCACACACTAATTAATCCCAGCATCACACACTCTAGATTCAGACTCTTCTGAAAAGCCTATGACCGCCCGAGGCTTTGGGGGGACAACTAGACACAAACCATAACACATACAAAAGAAAATACTGGCCTAAAAAATCAAGGCAGTGTAGCAGGCTTTATCATCCTTCTCACCTTTCACTCCTCCCTGGACTGTGCCCTTTGCTAGGATTTTAAGTTTCCTTCCCACCTCATAGATATTCAGTTTAGACATATGATTTGCACTGGAATTGCTTATTTTCAACTACTCTTCTTGCACTCCTACCATATCACAAGAAAAACATGCCTCTGTTCCCTCTCATCAGAAAAGAGAAATGTGAGCAGATCTAGAATATGCAGGCTAGAGCCAAATATAGTGGAATGAATCCACCTTTGATCATCCAACTTTCAGCTGATCCTGAGCTGCTAAATAAGAGTAAGTGACAATTGATAAACAAGAATAAGTGACAATTGCTTCAGGCCAATGAATTTTTGGAGTGATTTGTTAGGCAGCACTGTGGTGGCAATGTCTGACTGATGGATGTTGCTGATATAACTGAAGATTCCAAAGGTAGCAAGTGCTGTAGGTTGTTTTTGAAAGGAATCCCTGTTCTGTTTCTCAGTGAATCTCTTGAGGCTTCAACCCAGGGTGATTTTCCTCTTGGTGGCATCATGGCTGTAGCCATTTTAGCCTCCACAACTATACCCTGTGTCATCTGGAAAGCAAGAAATCTCTTCTCCAACCATCATACAAATATCCTGGGCTTTTACCATGATAAAGCTAACATAAGTCACAAGTTCCTCTTGGCCAGTGGTTAAGCAAGGATGGGATTATGCAACTTATATCAACTCAGGTCCCTCCTTGAAGATGAGAATGAACCCAATCTCTTCCAAAATCCATGCTGTGCTGAATTAATGGTGGCAGTGGGGAATGAAACATGCTTTCAGAGACATCAGCAATGTTAACTATGGATGGAGTCTAAAATCTCCCAAAATATGTTTTAAATTCCCATAAATACATTATTTGGTTCAAGACATTTTTCTACTTCCTTGTTGCTACGTTCTCTAGAGCTAGAAAGAGGGGTTTATCCTCTTGATCTCAGGTGTCACCTAGTAAAAGGCAAAGCATAAGGCCACACTTATGCCACTAAGGGCATGGAAGGTGACTGGCAACCCAGCCTAAAATGGGACTTTACCATAAGCCTAATGGATTCTCAATTCCTAGAATCTCAGGATTTTAAGAAAGAAAAAAAAGTATGTTTGACCTACTAGAATGTGGAAGCCTTTGACCTAGATAGAGGTTATTAATGCTGATGTGATGACAATGGAATGGAATAGTAGAAGGATAAGGGCCTTTACACTGACTTCTGGACTCCATTGCTTCTGATGAGAAGTCAGCTGTAATTCTTATTATTGTCCAGATACACAGAAACCACCCAATAAAATGTGTTTGATTAATGATTTGGAAAATAGAACTGAAGTCTTTTGGCATGTAGTCTGACATTCAAGAATACCTCCCCACCTCTTTATAAAACCCTGCTTTATACATCAAAGGCTCCCATGGCAGCCTCTTCAGGAAAGTTAACCAACCAAATAACTAATCCAGGTAATTTGTGCAAACATAGATGTTAAAGGAATTAGTTACTTTCTTTGCTTCTGAGTCCTCTTTAACCCTGAGGTATCTGAAAGATTGAACAACCTTTCACTAAACACATTTATGACATTGAACAAATGTTTGTCTTTCAACCAATATTTTTCAGCATCTCCTATCTATAAGGTACTGTGTTAAGTAGCTTGAAGGAAATGAAGAGATAATACCAATCTTCAAATATCCAACTAATATAATTTAATTTTCACCCAGAAGTCTTGGGAAACTTTGAACATAAGGAAAGACTTGGGACATTTTATGGAACTATAATTCTCAGCAAATAAATAGATTGACTGTGTTCTTGTGGGATTATTTCCCTTGCCCATTCTATCATTGAGGTTAGGTTTATATGAAATATCTCTCAGCAATAAGGCACATACCTGTAATCCCAACTACTTAGGATACTGAGGCAGGAGGATTGCAAGTACAAGACTAGTCAGACCAACTTAGCAAGACCTTGTCTTAAAATAAAAGGGCAAAGATATAACACAGTGGTAAAGTACTTGGCAAGGATGGACTATGCCCTGGGTTCAATTCCCAGAACTAAAAAAAAAAATCCAAATCAAACATGTAAGCATCTTTAAAATACCTTCCCATGTACTTCACCATAGCAGTTGCATGGAAGTTATTATTTGCCAGGTATGTCATGATTAAATAATTCCACACAATTACTGATCTGGGGTTGCTGACTCAGCCAGATTTCCCTCAAGTCCCTCTTTCTCTCTGTATGTTTCTTCCAGTTGGGTTATGCCTTGAACCACACAAACAGAAAGCTAATGTTGGAACCTAAAATAACTGTCAATGCCAGGATTGTTGTGGTTGGTGCCTCCAGTGTTGGAATTTCCTTCCTAGAGACACTGGTGTTTTGGTGAGTGATTCTATTTTATTTACCTATTAATTTATTTTTATTTTATCTCATTAATTAACTTGGTTGTTTTGCTGTACAGAGAATTAAACCCAAGGTCTGCACATGCTAGGCAAATGCTTTATCACTGAGCTACATCCCTAACCTCTCCATATTATTTTTATTTTTTTATTTTTTTATTTTTAACTAATATAAATTCTTTTTCTACACCTGAAGAGAGCCCCTTCAGAAAACAGATTGTTTGCCAGCCTACACCCTTGCCTATGTGGATTAATGAATCCATGGAATATTCTAGATGGAGGGAGGCAACAAACTGTAGTCCCCCAGGCCAAATCTGTCTTGCACCTCCTTTTGTGAATAAGGCTCTATTGGAACACAGCCACACTCATTTTTTTTAACTATTATTTTATTGGTACATTTTAGGTATACAATATAATGACAATCATCATTGGAAATCTGCACCTTTACATAATCTCTCTTGGTTCTTATTTTTC